AGCATAAAAGAAAAGCTCCATGCATTGGTATGGGTAAGGATATTTAAGATGATCCCAAAAGCACAGGCAACAAAAGCAAAAATAGACAAATGGGACTAAATCAAATGAAAAAACTTCTGGACACCAAAGGAAACAATTAACAGAGTGAAGAGACAACCTACAGAATGAGAGAAAATATTTGTGAACTATGTGCATGAGAAGGGGTTAAAAATTCAAAATATATAAGGAACTGATAAACTCAATATAAGAAAATAAATAAACTGACTTTTACAAATGAACAAAGGATATGAATAGACATTTCTCAAAAGAAAACACACAAATGATCAATAGGTATATGCAAAAATGCTCAACATCACTAATCATCAGAGAAGTGCAAATCAAAAACACAATGATAATCATCTCACCCCAGTTAAAATGGCTAATACCCAAAAGATGAAAGGTAACAAGTGTTGAATAACACTTGTACACTGTTGGTGGGGATGTAAATTAGTAGCTCCATTATGGAAAAGAACATGAAAGTTCCTCAAAAAATTAAAAATAGAACTACTACAGGATCCAGCAATCCCAAAAGTGGTGTATGTGTGTGAGTGTGTGTGTGTGTGTGTGTGTATGTGTGTGATAAATGAAAAATATTCTTAAGAATGATTATCATGATGCTAAAAGAAGACTATTGTGATATTTAAGATAAACTTATGGTGTTTAAAAATATATACACACAAACACATGAGAGAGATACCTACACTCCCCTGTTCACTGCAGCACTATTCACCATGGCCAAGTTGTAAAATCAACCTAAGTTTCCATAAACAGATGAATGGATAAAGAAAATGTGGTACATTTATGTAATGCAATACTATTGTTTTAAAAAGAAGAAAATCCTGTCATTGGTGACAACCTGGATAGAACCTAAAGGATAGTATGTAAAATAAGTCAGTCACAGAAAGACAAATACTGTATTATCTCACTCACATGTGGAACCTGAAAAAAATGAGCTCATGGAAGGAGAGAACAGAATGGTGGTTACTAGAGGCTGGAGTGGATGAGGACAAGGGCTGGTCTGGTAGGATGATGGGAGAGATTCAGAAGATGATGATGATCAAAGACAGGAGGAACAAGATCAAGAGACCTGTTGTATTACATGGTGACCAGAGTTAATAACAATGTACTCTATTCTTGAAAATTGCTAAGAGAGTGGATTTGAAATGTTCTTGCCACAAAAACAAGTACATGAGATAATGCATATACTAATTAGCTCAATTTAGCCATTCCACAATGTATACAAATTTAAAAACATGTTGTACATAATAAACATTGTCAAATAAATAATGTTTAAAAAGAACAACAAGAAAAGAACAAAAGGAAACCTTAGTTTGATTGGCTTAATAAAATACTTGAATACAAACTCATGATTTTATTAAAAACTGCAATGAATTTTTTTTCCCTTAAGGTTTTAAAAAGTGAAAAATAGTGGAGGCATTTCATTTCAGTAGTTCGTGAGGGGAAAAAAAAGCTGATGAAAAGTGTTGCTTGATAATTAAAATGAGTTACCAAAGGAGATTGGGAAGCCTGTGCTGTTTAGTGGATGAAATTATAAAATGAATTCTCGTTTGCCTGGAAGGAAGCAGGGAATGATTTTAATGACCTCTGTAAAGCTAATTCTATCCAATACTATGATGTCCACATGGTACACAGGCTGTTTAAGATTCAGAATGTTTGGCAGAGAATACAAAAGCAATTGAATGAAAATGTAAACTGTCTTCAGGAAAACATACCTCTTGGTAAAATGCTCTAAGACATTCATACTAGAAATCTTTATAAACTCCATTAATACTTTACCCTTTTTTTAATATTGTCTCTTCTCTTTGAGATCTTTTTCATGATGTTTCTTTCATATCCACTTTCTAAATAAATGAAAAATATTCTTAAGAATGATTATCACGATGCTAAAAGAAGACTATTGTGATATTTAAGATAAACATGGTATTTAAATTTTCTGATTTAATAGAAACAAAACAAATAAATATTCCCTTTAGTTTTTTTATATTTATCATTTCTCACCCTTTAGTATCTAGCAGAAATTCTGGTCAATATAACAAGACACAAAAGAAGTAAAAGAGAACTTTAAGAAACGGAAGACAAAATTATCATCATTTGTAGATGATAAGTTTTTATATATGAAAACTCAAGAGAATGAATCAAAAACATTTAGACATAATAAGAAAGTTATCAAGAGGGAGAAAATATGTAGCAGTCAGCATCTTCCCTGTGGGAGGCCAACCTTATGGGTGACTGAGTTACACTCCCCAGCTGGGTGCTGAGGCGCTCAGTCACAGAAATGGGTGTGTCTTGCTACAGCCCCATGGGTGAAGCTATGCTCACCTGTTCCTTTGTAATATAACCCCTTGCCCTGTTTAGGATAGAATCTTCCATGGAAGTGCCTTGTGTGTGTCCCCTCCTCTTACTGTGCCCTTGGGTGTGGCCTACCCAGGTGTCAGTCAACCTGCTGACAGTGGACATCATGAAGATAGACTCAGCCCCCTGAAACCTGACCCCTTGCCTCATTTGAATAGCTTCTCCTCAATAAAAGGGGTCAGCGGTACTCTCGCTCTCTCTCTCTTTCTGACCCTTAAGGTCAGAGGAGCTGTCACAGCAACCCCAAAGAAAAAGGTATTTGTGTCTCTTGTGTGGTTATTTCGTGCAGCCCAGTTAGCCCAGTTTAACTAGAGTGACCCCTGAGCCTTTTAGTCGCGAGAACAGAAACCCGGCACTTCCCTGTATACTAATATAATAGGAAAAAATCACTTTCATAACATCGATTTAAAAACATTCCAAAATACCTAAGAATTACTTCTTAAAATATGTTGGAATTTCCTTCCTTGCAGAACTATTAAACTTTACTGTGGGAGAAAAAGCAGAGTTTGACTAAATATAGAAATACTACACAGAGGCATAGAGATTAACTAAAAGGTCATTTTAATCATACTAATGTGAAATAATAGATATCTGAATTTTAAAAATGGATGTGGAAACGGAGAATGGGAATGGATGTTAATGAGATACTTAGGTGAAAGGTTTGGAAGTATTTAAAAAGACTGAAGCATTTGGAACAGAATAGAATCAAGTCTAAGTTAATTTTTTTATTTGTTTAACAGTTTAAAAAAAGACACTTAAACAGATTGGCTTAATGATTGTGTGTGTGTGTGTGTGTGTGTGTGTGTGTGAACTATGGGGATCAAACCAAGAGCCTCACACATTTCATGCAGGTGCTCTACTACTGAGCTACAGTCCGAGTTGTTTAAAAATTTTTTTAAGTTTAAGATAGGGTCTTACTTAGTTGCCTAGGCTGCCCTTGAACTTGTGATCCTCCTGCCTCAGCCTCCTGAGTAGCTATTACATACACGCCACTGGAATAGGATAGCAAGAAAACTGAAGTTTGAATTTACCTTCCATTCTTCAAGAACTTCTGAAATGAACTTCCAATCAATACCTGGCTTTTTGATGCTTATGTATTGAGGTGACCAGCACCCCCACCAGGGTAGGTTCCTGCTCAGAAGGTGTGAGCCGCCTGGGAAATAAAAAGTCTGAAATAATCGGTGAGAAATAAAGACTGAAACAGAAATTAGATATGAAAAGCGGAGTCTTCCAGTCCTGATAGAAGCTAGAACTGAACAACTGAAAAAAGACTCCATTTCTTTATTTAAGGGGGATACATCAAAGGCAGGAATAAGGTTTCAGGGGGAGGAATCTGGGGTGCTTGCTTCAAGGTGTGGCACAGGTCTTGCAGTAAAGAGGCTGATTGGCATTTTGACAAGCCACACCCATCTCCCAGAGGCTGTGTGGCTCCAGCAGGTCACCCCATCTCTGGTGATGTGCTGAACTTGAAATGGAGATAGGCAGGATGTCACATGAACCCCATGATTCATGGGAAAACTTTGGGTTTTGCCAGTTACCAGTTTGAGAATGCATTTCTCAAACAAGCAAGCTTGCTACTGGGAGTTCCTGATACCATACTTTCTTGCCTAATGGCATTAACATCACTTTAGTTCACGCACAGTTCATGGATGGCTTCCCACACTTAAATTTTTTCTTCTAAACTAGAGAAAATATTAGCAGTAGTATGACCTAAAGATAGTAAAAGTGTAATAATTAATCAAATTATCAAATAAAATGTTCAAATTATCAAAGTGTAATAATTAATCAAATTATCAAATAAAATGTTATTTTATTTGATAATTTGATTAATTATTACACTTTGATAAGAAAATATTTATCCTTTTTTTATAAGAAAACATTTATCCTTTTTTTTGCACACCTGAGGATGTTCCTAACCTATTCATTTATTATTCCACATAAAAGATAAATAAATTATTATACACAAAATATTGGATAAAATTACAATATTAGATAAAAACTGCATTTTCTCTACTGAAATATCCCTTTTACAACAATTCAACTTTCTGTGTTAGAAAACTGACTCCAAAAGTTAAACCCAATATTCTCTGTGAGGATATTGCTAATTTGCAATTCCTGTAGCTAAAGGGTAAAGAAATTGACTATTTTGGGGTCAGATGGCCTATAAGTCCACAGCCAAAGCATGAAAATTAAAGCTAGAAATTCATTTGGGCTTTTCTGATCCTCAGCTAACAGAAGGCAATTCTATTTGTACAAATATTTCCTTTCTTGCCTGGCAATGGGAAAACTTTGGGTTTTGCCAGTTACCAGAAGTACTATATATCATGATGAGTCCTGAAATAAAACTTCCTAAAGACTCTTTTATGTTTTTTGCAAATTTAATATACAAACAAGAATATATCATGGGGACCTTTGAGAAACCTAAAAAAAAAAAAAAAAGTTGCACAGGAGAACTACTCCTAGAAGGGTTGGCATAAGAAAATATGCCCCTCAAAGTCCAACTTGTAATTTTGGAAGCATCTATCTAGTAATGATGCCTCCTTGGAAATAGATATAATAGAATATAAAAAGTTTTACAAACAGGGATGTTAAGCACAATAAATTTTATTGTAGGTTCTTTTTTATTTGAAATTAATGTAATTAAGTCAAAGATGAAACCAAAAACATTACTTTCCAATGACTATGAAGGTTAACATCTCACACTCTTACACAGTCTTTAGGATGGAAGCCAGCTTCTGTAAAACCAAATAAAACAGCAATGTAATCAGAAAAATAATCTGAAGAACAGCTTGTTGAGGGTAACACAACAAAATAAGCAGCAATTGCCTAATTTGAAAGTCTTTCATATTTACAAATTAAAGAAAATATTAAACTAAATGAATGGAGGTTTGTGGAGGCCAAAATGACCCTGCCAGCTTTATTTCTCTTTCCACATTCATTTTTGGCTCCACAAGTACTCCTTGCAGCAGTGTAATTCAAGATAAAGGCTACAAATACAAGTCTGTATAATTTTCAAGATGTATTTATAGTCTAGTCTACCACATAGTTTTCTTTTTTATTTTTTTTGTGGCAGTGGTTGGCAGGGTTACCAGGGATTGAACTCAGGGGCCCTCAACCCCTGAGCCACATCCCCTACTTTTTTTAGAGATAGGGTCTCACTGAGTTGCTTAGCACCTCCCTGTTGCTGAGACTGCCTTTGAACTCGCAATCCTCCTGCCTTACCCTCCTGAGTCCCTGGGATTATAGGCGTGTGCCCTGTACCAGGTCCCACATGGGTTTCTAACTCAATTCTGGGAGTATAAGACTTATGCAAGATCCTGACTGGATCTTCAGTTTTGGAACAGAATGCTGAAGTACTACCTACCACAAGGAAATGTCTTCTAGGATTCAGCGGACTTCTTTTCAGCACAATTTTCAACCAGATTGCTTCTGTCACACAGTTCGGGTTCACCGGTACTACCAGAATAAAATCACAGAAAAAAAAAACTAGTGTATAGAATTGCTGGGAGCCATTAGCCAAGTAGGTATGACAATTTCCTTGCCAGCGTACCCCATGTTGCTGACATGTTGCAGTGACATTGAATGTAAGTGACCTTGCTCAAGGACCAAGGCAGATTAGGGTGTTCCCGGTTTTAAGATAATCGTGTTTAGGGCGTTCCCGGTTTAGGTTCCAGGTTTAAGGTTTAAGATTATTCCTGCTGGGAATAGGGCGTATCCTGCTGCCTGAGTTCCCCTTGAGTTCTCACGGGATTCAGACAATATATTTTGGAGATAGAAGCCCAGTGGAAGTGGATTTGGGCAGAGAACGTGGATTTCCCCAGAATGTGATTGTAGACGGCTGGTGTGAGTTCGGGAATAAAGAGTTGCTGTTTGAATCTACAAGCTGTGTGGTGGCTCGTGATTGTGTGCCCAGCCAGACTGCGGCATTTGTGCCCAGCCAGACTGTGGCATTGATTAGGGTGTTCCCGGTTTTAAGATAATCGTGTTTAGGGCGTTCCCGGTTTAGGTTCCAGGTTTAAGGTTTAAGATTATTCCTGCTGGGAATAGGGCATATCCTGCTGCCTGAGTTCCCCTTGAGTCAACCATTTTCCCCAGTTTGCCTGAGAAAGTTCTAGGAACAGGCAACTTGAAATAAAAACAAAATAAATTAAAATGAGAACACATTGTTTTTTGAATTGGTCACCCATTCTTTCTCTCTTCCTCAAGGGTGAGAAATTTCACTTACCTCTAAGCTTCAGAAGTTCCCCGTACGGGCCACCAAATGCCACAGTCTGGCTGGGCACAAATGCCGCAGTCTGGCTGGGCACACAATCACGAGCCCAAATCCACGTTCTCTGCCCAAATTCACCTTCTCTGGGCTTCTATCTCCAAAATATATTGTCTGAATCCCGTGAGAACTCAAGGGGAACTCAGGCAGCAGGATACGCCCTATTCCCAGCAGGAATAATCTTAAACCTTAAACCTGGAACCTAAACCGGGAACGCCCTAAACACGATTATCTTAAAACCGGGAACACCCTAATCTGCCTTGGTCCTTGAGCAAGGTCACTTACATTCAATGTCACTGCAACATGTCAGCAACATGGGGTACGCTGGCAAGGAAATTGTCATACCTACTTGGCTAATGGCTCCCAGCATCGAATGATCACAAAAATGCATTTGGTACTACTTACTAATGTTTCTCTGGTTAATTTTAAGCTAAACAGAAATTTCTTTTCCCTTATTTTCCTCCTAGCTCTTGTTGGAAATCTTTCTAAATCTGCCAATGAATGAATGCCCTCTCCTTTCATAACACAACTAAATTCAGTCCAAAGTACAATTTTGTCTTTATCTGGGTTCATCTATTGTCACATATTCTGATGAAAGTCTCACTCAAAGGTATGATAAAAATTAAGACAATGGATTACATTTTGTCAAAATAAAAATATTAAACATACAGAATCAGTTACCCTTTACTGGCGTGAGGAATGGAAAAATAGAGTTCAAAAAAATAGGGCTGAGGATGTGACTCTGTGGTACAGCTCTCGCCTGGCACATGTGGGCCCTGGTTCAATCCTCAGCACTACATAAAAATAAATAAATAAAGGTATTGTGTCCAACTATAACTAAAAATATAAATATAAAAATAAATATTCTACACTTAGCTAAGTGTGATATAGCAGTATGTTACAGCATTCTGTGAATAGCATCATGACTTTCTGAATTCCATTACCTGGCAAGTTTGATAATTAACATAATTTAGTTTAGTGTGATCTTACTATCCAAATCAAAACAGGAATACCCGGTCTGAAGGAGCATTTTCTGACCTGTGAATTCTTATATGTCTTTGAAAGGTATCAAATTTAAATGACCCACTGTTCTCAAGACCAAGTTCAAATCATATCTGGCTCCTGTAGGTCCAGAACCATTTGGGCCCACTTCTCTTGTGTGGGGACTTCTGGTACAATTCAATACAAATTAAATAAATGTGGAAACAGGTTATGAAAACCATGATGTATTCTGAAAGTTTGTATCTAATATACTCACACAATTTTAAGTAATTATGTTACCCACAAAATAATTGCAAGAGTAAAATATACGAATTCACAGAGCAACCACACTAAGAGGTCCAGAAAGTTGACTGGAGGAAGTGCGTGATGCTGTTTTTTATTTGAATCTCCAAGGGGTCTTATGGTTTGAAAAGAAGGTGTCTCCCAAATGCTCATGTGTGAGACAATGCAAGAAGGTTCAGGGGAGAAATGATTGGGTCATAAGAATCTTAACTCAATCAGTGATTTAATCTCCTGATGATTAACTGAGTGGTAACTCAAGCGGTAGTGTGTAGCTGCAGGAGGTGGGAATTGGGGCCTCGCTTTGGGTATATATTTGCATCTGTAGAGCGGAGTCCCTCTCTGCCTTTGCTTTCTGATAACTGTGATGTGAGCTGTTTCTCTCTGCCACCCTCATCCGCTGCCATGATGTTCAGCCTCACCTCCAGCCCTGAGGAATGGAGCCAGACTTCTATGGATTAAGACCTCTGAAACCGTGAGCCCTCAAATAAACCTTTCCTTCTCTACAGATGTTCTAGTAGTCCTTTAGTCACAGCAAATAAAAAGCCGTTTAAAACAAGGGGTAACTCTGTGTCTTCATTTGGTCTTCTTTAGAAAGTCAACCCGTAAGTCCTTTTTCCAAGTGAGGCCAAAAGGCCCTCCAGCCCTCTAATGAGGTCTCCAACATAAACCTCCAAATAAGATTAAACTCTTACATTTCCTGCCATCTTCATTCTTGGCTTTTTGCAACTTCCACTGGCCTAGAGCATTCCACGCGTCAAAGACTGACACAAATTCTATATCTTCCAGAAAGCCCCCCACCCCACCCCGTCCCCACTCTGATCTTGACCTCCAAAGGCACTTAGTTTGTAAGCTAGTTTTTGTTCACTGCATCCTATCTTGCAAGTTCATCTTTGTGCTTATTCCAAAGTGAGGAGGAAGGCTGGGTCATGGGACTTGTTTTCGTCGCACCAAACCTCCAAGGTGTTCCGCAGGCACAAACACCTTGCCCACCGGCATTTGATGCAATCAATTGCTGGCCTCCAGTGTTCTACCACTTCCCCAAATAGGAGGGGAGGCCAACGGAACAGGTCCCCGGGGACTGCAAATCCCAGGGTTCCCAGCGACTCTGTCCCCCAAAGCTGGAGCATTTCCAAGTCGTTGGGCCACCCCATCCCTTCGCCCACCTTAGGCGGGCCCCGCGGGTTTTCCCACAGCGCAGGGCTTCAACCTAAGACCAGAGTGTCTGTCAGGAAAGGGTCCTGGGGGCCTTAACGGGCAGCATCACATTCACCTGGAGGGACAGAGCGCCTCTGTTGCTCCTGGGCAGCAATCACGGGGCTCACGACCCTAGGCTGAGCCAGAGAGGCCACCAACCGCCCACAAGCCTCCTCACCCGGCCTCGTAGCGTCCGGCCCAGGAGCATGCGCGGGGCGGGGGCGGGGGCGGGGAGCGCCCGAGCGCTTGCTTTCCTGAATCCCGGGAGCCGGGGGCGTCTGTTCCCCCACTTTCCCGGGGTCAGAATCCAGGCGCCTTAGTCTTCAGCTTCTATTAGCGCTCACTGCGGGAGCCGGGGACTATAATCACCTGGGGCGTGGCTTTCTTGCAGCGTGGGGTGGGCTTTGCCAGTCCTGCTGATGCTTCCGGGTTTGTCTGTCTTGTTGGGAAGCTGAGAGTGGCGTCAGGCAGAGCCCTTTAAGTGCACACTTGACCAAGTAGCAAACAGGCCTTGCTCCTTTAATGTTTTTAAGAGTCTCCGAGCATGCTGGACATGCTCGCTTGCGTAATGTTTGCTTCCTAAACGAAGCAACTTGCATTGTTTATTTCCCCAGTGCTGGGCCCAGTGAAAACAACTACTTCAATAAACTTGTTTGGTTTGGGTTAGGGGACAGACAGATGTGAATGGTGGGATCAGAAGGTTAAGAGAATAAGTCTATAATATGGGCCCACTGTGCTGACCCCCACATGCTTTCTTTTGCAAGAAGCAATTTCTCTGCAGCCTTGCCTGGCCTAAGTGGACAGGATATATCACATTCCTCAGCAAACTACCTGTTAAAGGCAGAGAAATGCAGGACACAAATAATGTTGATAAGAGGAACCCAAGTTACCATGAAGGAGGAGACTTTTGTGACCAGATCCTGAAACTCGGGGAGATAAGGATAGTTCCTCCTAACCATAAAATCAGTAAAAATGTATGATTAAGTGGAGACAAGGGCATGGAGTACTGCATACAAGGCATATGTTAAGGGTGTCTGAGTGTCAAACCACTCCCCCATGCTAGGTGTGTGAGTGGCAAACTGCTTACCCCTTAGGCACAGCCCTGGGTGTGAGGTCGCACATTGCAGTCCCTGCGATTGTTCCATGGCCGGCTCCTCCCTGCAAGGACAGTTGGCCAGAAATTGTACTGGTGACTGCCTATAATCTGCTTAGTTACTGTCTGAATATATATACACATAGTAACTGCATTATAAAATCAGACCTACTTCCTGCTTGGTCTCCGGGGATCTTGATTAGCAACTCCGTGGCCACACTCTTCTCTACCCTGTTCTGTGGACCTCCTCCATGGATGAGAGAGAGCCAGTGCAGTTAAGAATCCAATTAGAACCAGTGCATACAGGCCAAGGTCACCTAGAGTTGCCATGATAGTGGGGACTTAAAAGTCTGATGTCACCTTTCTGTCAAAAGTCAAGAGGTAGCCCTGGATGGGACTCTCTGGAAACTTCTCTGGGATCCCATTAAAACTGGAGTGCAGGAGAGACACATTGTCCCCTTTCAGCTCCAGAGGACACACTCTCTCCCTTGAGAGTGTCTCCTTCCCCTTTCCTATCCTTTCAATAAACTCATGCCGATTACTCTGAGCCACTTCTGAAATCTTTCTGACTTGGTCAGAAGAATAAGAGTTTTTTTCAAGAGGGTTTCTTTGCGCTACCTCAGTTTCGCAGAAGGCCTCAGTCCCGTAACAGTTTGGAAATTTTAGAAATACCAAGGCAAACTTTACTCTGCCAGAAGGGCTGGGAAGCTGGCTAGCAAGCACACTTGGGTGGGCTGTCCTCTTCTCTTTATAGTTGATCACATAGGTTAGTCTACATGATCAACTGATTTTAAAATAGGGGAGGGCAAAGGGAAGGACGATAGTTAAAAATGATTACAAATCGATCTTTAAAACGTCCCAATTAAGGCTAAATATTATATTCTGAAAATGGACCATTCAAGTTCCTGTTTCTCACAGAAAATGTTCTAGGAAACCCGCAAAGATGAAGTTAAGGAAGTTACTAGCATGGAGGAGAGCACAGCAGTGATCCGTAGTCTTTCATTCATTCAAACGTTTGACAAATGTTTATTATCACCTTTCCAGGAATGCTTGGCAGTGCAGCCCTTCAGAGAGTTAGTTACTCAAAACATTACCAGCACCCTGTTGAGAAACTCTGGTTTAAATGGTCAAGGAACCTAGGGAAACAAAACAAGAAAGAGGGAGGAATTTGATGTATTTGTTGAACTCTAAGGAGACCTGCTGGACCAAAGAGATGATTTCTGGGTGGGATGTGTGGTGAAAGTTAAGATTCAAATGATGGCAGCAGTCTGTGTGATACCGGGCCTTGAAAGAGCCTGGGCAGGTTTGAATTTTATCCTGTCATGAGATCAGTAACCATGGTTATAGAATGTGTCTATAACAGTGGGTTAAAAAAATGTAGCTGCTTCTATAATAGGAAGTATTATAAAACTATTTGTATTAAAGGTTAGGCAGCATTAAAAGGAGAATACTTTGGGGGCTGGAGCTGTAGCTCAGTGGCAGAGAT